GTTGCAAAGTTATCATCATAGTTTCCATGTTACTTTGTGGCTGTCCCATGGCCTGCTGTATGTTATCAGTTTTCGGCTCTATGTGAGCTGTGCCTGATCTTAGAGCACTGGCGTAGGAAATGCTGTTGGTGGTAATTGAAGGGCCAAATGATGACCTGGCTGCTTTTGCGAAGAAAACTTCGGGTGACGTTTGTGATTTCATGTAAATGTTCTGGTGTGCCGTTGTCGCTCTTTGCATCCGACTTTTCATCTCCTTGTAGACTGAATAGCCTCTGTAGTTTGCTGTGTGGTTTCCTTGGCAGTTTACACACTTTTTAGTGAGAGAGTCTCTCTTGTTGGCAGGGCAGGGTTCGGAGCCGTGGCAGTTTCCACAAGCTACACAAACTGACCTGAGGGTGCAGTAAGACCTGGTGTGTCCGTATTCCTGGCAGTTTGTACATTGCACTGGCCCGTTCCGTTTGTGCGGCTCTTCAACTGTGATCCTACGGTGCAGAAGGTACTGCAACTTGTAGATCGGGTGCACTGCGTTTTTTTTCAAAGTTCTGCTGTCTGGCTCCAGCTCGACCTTGAAAAGTGGTTGCGGCTTTTTGTTTTTGTTCATAATGTTTATAACATTTTTGGCGCAAAAACCGTTTTCTTTTAAAAACTCTATAATTTCAGAGGGGGTCACATCGGGTTCAATTCCCTTGAGGACAACTTGTAAGCCTTTGCAACTTTTCAGCTGGTACGTGTAGTAATTCTTTTTGGCATTGTTTAGGTACTTCGACACTGCTCGGAAATCATCTTCGGTTTTGGTTTGAAGTTTTGTTTCGCTTATATTCTCTTTCATAAGCGGAATAACATGAAAGTTATCCTTCCCGACAAGCTCAACTATTTTATTGACTAGGACGTTGGATATCTTCTCCCGAATAAAGATAGGTGGGGGCTTAAGTTTCTTTGGGGCTAATTCTTCGTACTCTGTTTCAGGCTCCGCCAGAATGGAAAATCTATTTTCATTTAATGGTCCGAGATTTTCAGGGCCTTTGTTGGTACGGTTTATTTTGGGCATATTGCTTTCGCTTGGAAATATTAATATAGCGATACATGCCTGTCTGCATGGCCGAACCCGCTTGCGGAATTGTAATTTTTTCTACCGTAGCTTTGTTTTTGCCGTTTGACCCGATTTTTGCACTTGGTTGTGTTGTTGCTTTACCCGCTGCAGAAGAAGAGAGTGGAGTCGTTATTGCATTGTTGGCGACAGAGACCGTTGTAGTTGACGTAGTAGTTGCTGTTGTTGTTGCACTAGGTGGCAGAAGCTCAGTTGGAGTTTTGCATTGCTCACTCCATGGTGTTTGTGCGGTGAAAAGCAGGGCGGGAGAGCAAGAACTAGCTCTCTGGTTTTCGGCGGTCAGTAAACTTGCACTTTCTTGCACTTTCGGTTCTAGAGTATTACTCGTGAACGAGAAATAAGCATTGTTTCTCTGAATTTTTTCACGGGCTTCGTCTTGTTGTTTTTGGCGTTGAGTGCCCTGATCCACGTTCTTACTCATTTATTGATAGAGCGTAATATTAATTAATGAATTAATTAAAACTTTAGTTTACAATATGCGAATTAGCATCGCGAATCGCAAAACCTCGCGTTTATAAATTTTTTCGAACGTTTTCGACTTAGTGGCTTATTGTTTTTCCGGAGCGTTAAGAAAACACGTCTACACGCCTCGGCTGAGTGAAAATTTCAATTTCTATAGTTACGCCCGAGAAACTCAAATGGGCTATTGTAACCTTCTAACCATTTAAATCAGCGGGAATAGACATGATCTCTCCAGCATTCTTACAGCAGGGGCAGGAACTACTCCTAACCCGCCTAAGAAGACTAATGGTGAGCAGCCTAGCCCTTGGGTACATCCCAAGTGCATGGGGCAGCGCTAGGGTGGTCTTCATCCCCAAGTTCGGGAAGAAAGACATCACCAGCCCAAAGTCCTTCAGACCAATCAGCTTAAGTTCGTTTTGTCTTAAAACGTTGGAAAAACTGGTAGACTACAATATCAGAAGAACAGCTCTCAGAGACTGTCCGCTGCACAGCATGCATACAGAGCAGGTCGTTCAACAGGCACTGCACTTTATCAACTATGTCGCACCCTAGAAGGGGCAATTGACAGCAAAGAAATAGCTATCTGTGCCTTTCTAGACATAGAGGGAGCCTTCGACAACACATCACATGATGCAGTTCGAGCTGCCCTGTCCAGAAGGGACATAGATATTACTACGAGCAAATGGATTGGCAACCTACTTGAATCCAGGCAAGCAAAATGTACACTGGGTTCGGATAGTGACAATTTCCCTTTGCTATGGAGTCTGCTTGTAGATGAGCTTCTCAGCAAACTTGCTGGAAAAGGAATCCAAAGTCAGGGATACGCCGTGACATGGTGATAATCGCCAGAGGCAAATTTGAAGCGACACTCTGCGACATCGTCCAACTCGGACTAAAGACAACGCTAGACTGGTGCAGGGAGGTTGGACTCAACTTAAATCCTGCTAATACAGTCATCGTTCCTTTCACAAGGAAGTACAAACTATAGAGAATGAGACAAATCTCACTGCTAGAAACTCCTATAGAAATTAGCCGAGAGGGTAAATATCTAGGAATCACTTTGGATAGTAAGCTGAACTTCGCTTCCCATGTCCAAAAGACATTGGAAAAGTGTTACAGAGCACTCTATACCTGTCGGAAAATTGCTGGGAAATCCTGGGGAACCAGGCCCCAGATAATACGATGGCTATACTTAATGATCGTGAGACCAATCCTCACTTACGGAGCACTTGCATGGGGTAAACGAGCTAAGCTCACCAGCATGCAAATGGTGCCTGCGTATGCATGACAGGGGCAATGAGGACCTGTCCAACAACTGCCTTAGAAATTCTGATGGAGCTAACACCACTCCACTGTGTAATTGAAATTCAACGCAAAGCTACACTCCTCAGAATAAGCACTGAGGGCACAGGTAGTTGCATTCTAAATAACAGGGATGCGAATTAATCTTCGAGCCGAATTAATCTTCGAGCAGAACTTCACAGCACAGCTAGGCAATAAGAAAGATTGCACCACATTGTCTGAAGTGCACCCTGTGGATAAACACACCATAGCATGGTACACAGATGGATTCCTGACACAACAAGGCACGGGCCTTCGAGTGGTAGGGCCTCGCATAAAATACCACGAATCCCTTGGCCAATATACCAGCATATTCCAGATATGAGGTATAGCATATGAGGTATGTGCCATTGGACGTTGTGCAGAGCTCAACATACAGCGTGGATACAAGGAAAAGGACATATGGATCCTTGCGGTCAGCCGAGCAGCTATTACTGCTTTACATAGTAACAAAATCACCTCGAAGCTAGTCCTAGAGGTGAAGAGTAAGCTAAATATATTCGGCAGCCGAAACAGGCTGGCCCTCAGGTGGATTCCGGGAAATAAGGATATATCCGGAAATGAACTTGCCGATAAAATGGCAAAACTAGGAGCTGAACAGCCCCTGATAGGACTAGAGCCCTACTGTGGCATAGGGAGGCACACTATAAAAGAATACTTTAGGAAAGAGGACGGCGCCATGGGGCAAGAACACTGGAGGAATACCCCAGGCCTAAAGCAAGCCAAAACTTAAATAAATAACTACAACAAGAAGAGGTTCAAGAAACTTTTTCAACTAAGAAAAAATTCACTTAGGATCGTTACCGGATTTCTAACCGGGCACTGTAAACAGAAAAGTCACCTAGGTATGATGGGAATAACCAGCAGTAGAACTTGCAGATTCTGCCACATAGAGGACGAAACCTCTAAACACATCATCGCAGACTGTCCGGCATTAGCAAGTATAAGAAGTAAAATCTTAGGAAAATTAAATTAGAACTCTTACACCTAAGCTCCTGGAAGAATCAACCCACTAAAACTCCTCGAATTTATTCGAGGAAGTGGGTTGATATCTGAGCTGTAGGCTCTGAATGGGGGTACAATAGATCTTACAGGTCGCGGTACACTAAACACCCCGATATTAATAATAATAATAATAATAATAATAATAATAATAATAATAATAATAATAATAATAATAATAATAAAAATAATAATAATAATAATAATAATAATAATAATAATAATAAAGGAAGAGAAAAATACATGGTGGGCAAAAATCCTCTAGCGTTCCGACTGGAAATAAAGCTACAGTGCCTGTGCGATGTTAAATGGGTTTCAGCTAAGATCAAGAGTCGGAACTGGTGCTCTGAGTTTTTCAAGATATCCAGGGATGATTCATGATCGTAGTAATAAGGTACTCTTTTATTGTTATTGTTTGAGTTCTGCCAAAGCTTAGGATATAACATTTTGTGACGATTATCATTAACTTTAACAAAAAATTAACTTTAACTGATTTAATTAGTTTCGTTATTGCCACAAAGCTGCACAATAAAATTCTTGTAACCAAAAAATTGTAAAGCAGCGTATCAAATTAGAAACTAATTAAATAAATATAACTTACATTTTTGTGAAAGTAAATAACTATCGTCACAAAATTTGACATCAAAAGTTTTTGGAGTCTTAGGTGCGATAGTCACATTGTTCATACCTCGTCAAACGGTGTGTTTGTTTGATCTTTAATAATCATTATTTTTGAGTTTTATTAATTTTTTATCAAAAATAATAATTATGCCCTATGTTTTATATACTTACTCAAAAATTGATATGTAATCATTACCAAATAATTTTTGTTATAAAATTAATGATTACGGTTCCTTGATTTTTTTAAATAAAATAGTGCGTATAAAAATGTGCTATTTGAGTAAAAAAAAATTTTTTAATTATACTTTTTGTAATCTTGTTTGTTTGAACGAATGTTCGTACGAATGTTCCGTTCTCTATCATGAAAGTATTATTTTTTTTTAACATTGCACAGGAATGACTCTTTTCAACTAAAAACACCCGTCGTATAGAAAATTAGGCCCTCAAATTGTTTCAATTACTTTAGTTATTTTTATTAAATGAGATTTTTTTATTTACCTTACAAAACAATCTAAATGCATTAAATATTACCTTGCCTTTTATACAAATTCTCTTAATATAAAACATACATTCGAATTTGGATTATTAAAGCGTTTATTAATAGTGTATTAAGGAAATTAAATTGGAGGCTTCCTAGCATGAAGCGAGCCACATTATATTGCAACTAAGCAGTTATCATTTTCAGGTTTTCTGGTCGCATATTTCGGAATGCAAATGAATATAAGCGTTTTAGTCAATTATATTCAACTTATCAAGGCATTTTTCCAAAACTATTTTAAAAACAAAAATTTAATTCTAAAAATTTCCGAGAGTTTACATGATGACTCGCGATTAGACATTTTTAACAAAAACTGCAATTTTTACTGTTTGATTTTATCTGTTACAAATATATTTTTTCTTATATAATTTTTAAAATAATATTACATGAAGAAACATTCTCCAATTTATTGCAAAATGAGATGTCATACTGTATACATACTATTATTATTCATGCTTCTTAATATACAATAAATCTTTATAGCTAAATTAAAGTATTATTAAGAATTGTATACCTATGCTTTTCCAGTTAGAGGTCAGACAAACTAACATTGATCTAAGACTATTATAAGCTAACGCAATTAGTTTTTACTGCTTTCATCACATGCAGCAAAAACCAAAATTGGTATACTTTTTACTTAATAAAAATATTATCTACGGTTTTTATACAATAAATATGTTTTCATCGAAAGAGGAAGTTGAAGTTGTTGTATACGGTCCTCCAAGTTCTCGCGGCCAATTTTCTGTCGAATAGTTCTTCGGCAAAGATCCATTAGGGGCAAGGGTTCGGCTTAAAAGATACAAAATAACTTGTTAATATTACGTTTTTAATTTCAAAAAACGAAGATCATTTGGAAGACGACAGCTACAACACGAAGGATTTAAAAATATTGAAAACCATACAAGTACACTCTAGTTGAGTTAACCGACTAAAAGATACCTGTTGCTATTCTATTCTATTCTATTCTATTCTATTCTATTCTATTCTATTCTATTCTATTCTATTCTATTCTATTCTATTCTATTCTATTCTATTCTATTCTATTCTATTCTATTCTATTCTATTCTATTCTATTCTATTCTATTCTATTCTATTCTATTCTATTCTATTCTATTCTATTCTATTCTATTCTATTCTATTCTATTCTATTCTATTCTATTCTATTCTATTCTATTCTATTCTATTCTATTCTATTCTATTCTATTCTATTCTATTCTATTCTATTCTATTCTATTCTATTCTATTCTATTCTATTCTATTCTATTCTATTCTATTCTATTCTATTCTATTCTATTCTATTCTATTCTATTCTATTCTATTCTATTCTATTCTATTCTATTCTATTCTATTCTATTCTATTCTATTCTATTCTATTCTATTCTATTCTATTCTATTCTATTCTATTCTATTCTATTCTATTCTATTCTATTCTATTCTATTCTATTCTATTCTATTCTATTCTATTCTATTCTATTCTATTCTATTCTATTCTATTCTATTCTATTCTATTCTATTCTATTCTATTCTATTCTATTCTATTCTATTCTATTCTATTCTATTCTATTCTATTCTATTCTATTCTATTCTATTCTATTCTATTCTATTCTATTCTATTCTATTCTATTCTATTCTATTCTATTCTATTCTATTCTATTCTATTCTATTCTATTCTATTCTATTCTATTCTATTCTATTCTATTCTATTCTATTCTATTCTATTCTATTCTATTCTATTCTATTCTATTCTATTCTATTCTATTCTATTCTATTCTATTCTATTCTATTCTATTCTATTCTATTCTATTCTATTCTATTCTATTCTATTCTATTCTATTCTATTCTATTCTATTCTATTCTATTCTATTCTATTCTATTCTATTCTATTCTATTCTATTCTATTCTATTCTATTCTATTCTTTGCTTTCTTTCTTTTTTAAATTTGATTTAAATCGGACGAATATGTCATATAGCTCCCATGGGAGCCATCGGGGTTCAAAGGTTTTGAATCAAAACAAAACAATCGAAAAATTGAGCTTAAAATCATTATAGCTTCGATGTTTTTTTACGTGTAGGAATAATTACCGATTTTTTTTTGCAAAAGCTGCAAGGGTATATAAAATTTCGGCAAGTTGAAGTATGCTTCCTTTCTTGTTTGGTAATGGACTAGACCCCAAGAACGTCATCACCATGACCAGGAGTTGTTCCCAAATGACTTGTATATTAAAAAACCTAAGAACACAGTTCTGTCCTCCGATCAAAAATAATTATGTCTATAATAACCTTGCTTATATTAATAATATGATATCAATATTAATTCAAATACGAATTTTTCATAATCGAATTGGACTTGCATAGATTTCTGCTCCTTTAAATAAGCAAAAAGTGCTAATTAAAAAGATTTGAAATGGGTTGCATTGTTAAACGCTGAATAGCTCCCAAAAGCGAATTTTTAGAGAAAATGAATGACAGTTCATGTAGTGAAAAGGGCGGTGAAAGGGACATAATACATTTTTTTTATTTAAGAGGAGGTTTTGAGCTTGGGTTGGTAAAATATTACACTTTATGACACTTTTTTTAGCACAGTTTAATTTTTTTTCAAACACGCGTCGAATGACATCAAATTTGATCCCATGCTCCGTTCAAAAGATATTCATACTTTTTTGGTATATTTAAAAAATACAAAAGTTTTCTACATCGTTTCTCAATTTCAAAAAATTTTAAGGACTTTTTTTTTAGAATTTTAGAATAATTTTTTTTGTTGACTTTTGAAAAACCAGCTAATTTATCGGGAAATCGCTATACTTTGCACGGCAATAACTTCTAAACTAGTTAATGGAAACATTTTAAAAGTGTATTTATTTAGTGGAATGCTTATTCATTTTTCGTCACAAAATTTGATATCAAATATTTTATATATTGAAGGTGCGATCGTAACTACTTTTTTACCTCGTTGAGATGTTTTTGTTTGATATATAAAAAGTTGCGTAATCTCAAAAGCTTTAAGGAATCAAAAATATGAAGAAATCTTTACGCGAATTTTTCAAAAGCGGTAGAACAAAAGTTTTTCACCTCGAGCTGCTTAATACAGTTAAGTTGTCTTCAGGACCCTTAAACATCGCTTTGTTACACATATACAAACCAAAAACGGAAAAACGGTCTCATTTAAAAAATAATGTGTTTGTTGTTTATTGAATATCTTTTTACCGAAGTATCGAGATTGAGATAATTGTGGTGTCGTTGTACACGTATTTAATGCCAGAAGACAACATTTTTTTCGCACTTTCACCCCCATTTTTCCGAAACCAAATGACTTTCTAAAACGTAGTATGCACAAACTCTTAAAAAAGAGAAAAAACCTTTTGATTGCTATATCATTTATTAAGATCGGACTATTCTTAGCTGACTCCGAATATTGCGGCTATATAAGTTATAAGTAGTCTCCTTGCGCAAAGATGTTTGCCCCCAAAACGTAAAACGAAATAAGGCCCCAAAGTTGGGGTTTTATTTCATAATGGAATTAAACCCCAATATTAAATATGAAATACGGCCCTCAAACCTTGTTTAAGATCATATGCAGTTAAGAAAGTTAATTGTTTTTCGGTTACTTATTATGACTCTGTAAAATAAGTCCCCAAAGCAATAAGTCCCAAAAAAAAACGAAATAATGCCCCAAAAATTCATACAAGAAACAATGACAATGATTTTGAATGGAATTTGGGGTTTATTGCCTATTTAAAGAAAAATCTATATATTTTGTGATTTGCATCCCGTGAAGTGTATGTGTCCGTAATTCTCGAGTGTGAAAAAATTTATGGATTACGCCGAACTGGCCATTAGTTTTATGTAAAGGGACAGAAAATGCTAAACAAAAACAAGTCGACATACAAAATATAATAAGACTAGAACAATACCTGCCTTGCTAGAGTAATCTTGGCAAAAAAATGACGAGGCCACCAACATATCACTAGCCAAACTTTTTTAAATTCGTCTCAAAGTCCTCTTCAAGTAATTGAGGCATTTAACTTAGAATCTGTGTGGATAACTCAAATCCACTGAGGAAAAAAAAGCTTTTTGTTTATTTTCATCCTTATAAATAATAAATGAAGTAAAAGAGTATATACCACCGCCGAACAGAAGATATCTAATCGGCGGAACATTTGAAATAGGTTCCATAGGTTGCTCTAAGCAGCTTCTTATTGTTTATATTCAGCACTTCGACAAGGTAATTACTTTGAAAATTATAATTGAAAAAAATGCTTTAAAATTAGTTCCTTATTGCAAGGATCGTAAATGATTTTTTTTTCAAATTTTTTTTAATGATACCGTTTTCCGATTTATATTAAATTAAAATCGTAAATCTGAACTTTTAAACTATTTCTATTTCCAAAACAATTTTTTTTTAAATATATAAATAGAGAAGTTACATTTTTTTTAAATTTACTTATTTTAATATTTATATTAATTAAGAAAAAGCAACGTTATAATTTGCTATTCTGATTGGATTTTTTTAATGGGAGCAATATGCTATAGTCGTCCGATCCGGCTCGTTCCGATTTATATAGTACCTGCAATAGAAAGACAACTTTTGGGAAAGTTTCATGCAGATAGCTTTAAACATGGCTAGATCGACTCTCCTATTGATGATGATCAAGAATATATATACTTTAAAGATAAGGAGATGTAATGCCCTCCGCAAGGGTATAACAATCAGACACTTGTATTGGGCCTAGAAATGCATGGTATATAAAATCATTCTTTTTTGCCAATATTTTTGTATATCCTTGTATATCACTGAAATTAATTCAATTATTTGAATTATTTCGATCAAAATAAAACTCAATTGTATTTCACCGACATTGTTGAAAAACAAAATTTGTTTGCTAAATAAGTTACGGGAACGCCAAAAATTGCAAGCCTAAGAGTGTTGATGAGTCTGCGGTGACGTGCAGACTAAAATAGCACTAGCCGTAAGTCCGCGGATCACTCCCTAGGGATTTATGTATACAAAAATACAAGGTCACTAAAAGCAACAGAAATTAAAGAACATTATAACACACGTCTAATCTTGTGTCACCCTTTTTTTTGAAATTAGAAGAATCAGATTTCGGTAGAGAATATGGGCATCCAACGCTATCCTTCTTCATGCGCTTTAAGCATGCTTCGAAGAACAGCCCAGAACACTTAAAACTTAAAAATTATGTTCTCTGTTCAAATTTAAGCATACATTTAATATATTACAATTTTATATTCAATTTTAAAATTTGAGACAACTCATGGAACTAAATATAACTTCATTTTGTTAAAAACAGAATATGCACATACATTTTTTTTAATAAGTTGCTGTTGTATAATTAATAAAATATACTCACGATCTAATCCACCAATGTAACGCATGGTTATTTCACAGTGACCCCAAACCGCCGAAACAACTGGATACAATTTTTTTCCTCTCAGCCCTTTGAAGGCAATACCAAGATACTGCTGATCAACAATGAAGCTTAGTGTTCCTTCGTCCATATCTAATGCTACTAAGAACTTGTCTGGAACTAAAAAAGCTTCGTCGTTTTTTAATATGGCTGGATATGTGACACCAGCGCAGTTTTTTGAGTCATGATACAATTTATTTCTTCCTAAATCCCAGCCCCAACTTTGTTCAGTTGATCCGACTAAACTTTGATACCCAACTGAATGTAACGGCGCATCTGAAGTGGATACGCCGACAACAGCGTGTGTACCTCTTTGCCTTGTTGGCCAATAAATTTCCCAAATATGCAATCCCTTTGTGAGTCCGACCTTTCCGCGAATACAATCAGTACTTTGAGCGACTGGGTGTCTATGAAATGTCAACTTGTCGTCCTCTTTTACAAAAATGTTTAACGACCTATCTTCGGAGTTCCAGGAATGCTTCAGTTGTAGTTCTCGAGACGCTGGCGGCATATCAAGCAAAATATCGATGCGCGCTGGTTTAACAAAATCAGCTTGTAACTCTCTTGGTATTATTGGTTTAAAGGTAGACTGTGAATCATTACGACTAACTGTTTTGACTCCACCACTAATTTTTTGACCCATGTTCATGCCACGGCAGCTTCTAGATCGTCTTTGGTCGATTGCAACTTTGTAGGATAATCGAAGACGTTCGAACTCCCTGGGTTCCAATCTTGACAACACAACTCTTGGGGAAAGTGTGGATATAGATGAAACACTTTGAGGACGTCGCCTTTCACTGGACCTAATAGAAGGTGTCCGACCACCCTTATACCTGAAAAGAAACCATAATGTAAGATTTTTTTAAAAGAAGTTCATATTTTGAAGTTGGCAGGTATAGAAAGCTTAAATATGTACATACATATAAATATACATACATATCTACAATGTACATAAAAAAGTGGTTTGTGTGCACGTTTATATTTAACCATGCATGTATGTATGTAAGACATTAATCTTGAAGGTATGTACATACGTACAAGTAGGTTCTACATAATGTATACAGATATGTTAATATTAAGAAAAACAAATAGAAGACTTTACTTAACTTCAATTAGAAATTATAGTAAATACGAAATTTTTAAACTGAGCTTCATTTTTAAAAGTTTACCTTTTTTTTCCAAATTCCATTTATAGAGCAGTAAATTAAAAATTGTACAAAATGGCGTCTCCGACGAATAGCCAAATATTTCCTTAAGTTAGTTGTAAAATAATGTTCATTATTCACGTTATAATAAAACTAGCACACAAATTTATTTCAAAACAATAACCAATTTGTTTTAATGTGATTATAGAAAATGATTTTTCCAAAAAAAAACGGCGTCTTCCGATCTTAAAATACAATTACAAACACTACCACAAGACTCATACAAGCTACACACAGGGACACAGGGTGTTTACAATCAAATAAATCAACTCTTAAGGCCAAGTACACGTTACGATTTTGAATTAATAATGTTCAATGGTTTTAAAATAAACATTTCAAGTGTCCAAGTTCCATTAAAGTATTTGTGTAATTTGATTAATTTTTGTTCTATAAGTAAACAACTTGTTCAAACTAATTTAATTTCATGCTAATAGAGTCATCAGTCACGCTTAAACTAAAGTCTACTAGGACAGGTTTTAACACCGATTAATTTGTTTGAGATTATGTAATCCAATTAACTAAAAAAATTGTGCCAAGAATAGGTTAAAATTAAATTGGTACGCGCGGTCTTACTTTTTATTTTTCAAATAAAAAGGCCCGAGCTTTTCCGTTAAAAGGCACGGGCTCTTCCGTTGGGATCCTGGTTTTTTAAAAAATTATCGAAAATGTTACAAATACCATTTTTTTTGGCAAAAAACGGTTTTGCCTATATCTTCAAATGAAAAATTTTGTAAAAACACATGTTATATGTAATCTTATACAGTTTTATACCCCCTGCAGAGGGTATTAAAATTTCAGAAAGAAGTTTGCAAAGAAGATGAGACATTTGTGACCCTAACAGTATTAAAATTCCAAATCAGCACCACTAAAAGAGTCAATTTAGCCATGTCCGTCTGTCCGTCCGTTTCTACGCAAACTAGTCTATCAGTTTTAAGGCTATCTGCACGAGCCGCATCGGACGACTATACCAAATAGCTATCATAGGAACAATCGGAAAAATAAATGAAAACGTTGCTGTATTTTAATTTTTTTTGTTCTTCGAGATGTATTGGTTTAATATTCCAAAATGGGAGCAATCAAATTATAAACCAAAAATGGATAAACAAAAATATTTAACTTTAAAATTTTTTTTTTTATTTTGAATTCTTTTGAACATAGTAATGATTTTAAATTTCAGAATAACGCTTTCAATGTTATTTAAATCGGAAAACGATTTCAGATAGCTGACAATTGGAACGATCGAATAATTGAGCTATAAGTCGTCACGGCTTTAATCATACAAGCATATATATCGAAATGTAGATGTTTTAAAGAATATTTAATCTTGGAAATAGAAGCAAAAGTTTTCAGTTAATTTAATCGTTCCCGAGAAAAACGCCAAGTAACCTAACTTTTAATCATTCGTTTCAAAATAAAAAACCGTTGAAACACATTTGCGTCGCTATGCACATAATAACACACGGAAACTTATCGTTTTATAGAAGAGTAGTTATTAAAACAAAAATAATGTACACACCATTTCAGTTAACTACAGTCAACTACAAATTATTAAAAAGAATTTGTTTACAAATAAAAATTTATATCCTTGGAAACGGTTGGAATTTTCAACAAATGTGAAACTATAATTTGCACAGAGAGAGAGAGACCAGCTGAAATCGGAAGGTGGATGGTGAAGGGATCTCTGTGGAAATACCCTATTATTAAGTGCGGTGCTCCTTAATTTATAGCCCCTTTCCACAGAGATCCATCTACGTTCATGGTTGACCTGTTGACTTTGTTTACGTTTTGACGAGCCACATATGTATGTTCAGTAGAGCTTAAATCGGAAGGCGGATTTGCTCTGTGGAAATCGGAGTTTCACATTTGTCAAAAATTACAACCGTTTCCAACTGATGGACTGAGTGGAAAGAAGGCATTGAATAGTTATTATATACATAACCCGCAAAATAGGCAAAAAGACGATAGTTTTTTTATTAGTGCAAAATGTTTGACGCCATTATTATGGTGGGATACTGCAATATTTTAAAAAGACTACCTCCATTTTCAACAAAATACATGTATTTCATTTTTTTCAGTCATATTTCTTGAATTTATGTTTTGGGTATTCCCGAAACGACTGAATTTTTGAAAATTCATCAGAAATACACTGAAACTCGATCAGCTATTCCATACAAATTCAACTTGCTGAAATTATAGCAGTTTCTGCTGAATAGTCCTTTCAGAAATATAAAAATTATTTTATTTTTAAAATTTGAATTAGATCTTGGCAATTAGGCAATAATTGATCTAAAAGGCACAACAAAAAGCGGCTTAGCAATTAATTTAATCAATATCACCTCTGATAAGATTAAGCATTAAAATAGAATTGTTCGATTTACAAGAGGAGCAATATAATAGCCGGATTCCATTGGCGCATTAAAAGGCATTTAGCCTAATGCGCATTTATTTACACAGGGAATCCCGTAAGGCTAAATGCCGCATTTAAAATAAATGCGATTAAAAATCATTCGCCCAGAACATTTTTAGAAAAAATACCGAAAAATACTGATTTTTAACGAAATTTCGTTTGTGCCACCACAATAGCAGCTGGGTTTTTATGCATGGATGGCGTAATATTTGATTTCTTTGGAATATAAAATCTATTTTACGTACAAATTCTGAAAACAATATCAAGCGCAGTAAATCCTGCTCGCAGGTCCACAATGCATTACTTCTGCATGTCTGGCAGGAAAAAACTCACACATATACGGGGAACTTTGCTCTTTTATTAGAAACTGTGGTGCTCTCCTTTGCAAACCCGTCAAACAACACCATCAGCTTCCCTTTCTTGTCGTCCAAGTTAACAAATGCCTCGATGGCATTAGGGATGACCTGCTGCGCACTAAAGATATCCGTAAACTTATTTTTTTAATTCATGATTTTTAAATCATTTCGTTTTGATTTGCAACAATTCAAAAGTAAACAAACCCAGATCAGCAGTTCGTGTCACTCATATGTCGGAGTAGCATTGGCTAAATGCTAATGCGCCAATGGAATCAGGCACATTTAAAAATCCACTAATGCGGCAATGGAATCAGGCTATAACTCCACTAGGGTAAATATTTTGATCCCAAGAACACATTTTTTTTGTACCCACTCATTACGAATGGTGTGTACTTGACATAAAAAACCAAAAGGGATATCAATTTTCTAATTAATTTAATTTAGTTGTATAAGGATCATCAAATTCTTTCGACCACCACCTTTTAAACCCATGAACCCTTACAGCCTTGTAAGCAGAAGGTGTTGAATCGAATTTCAGTTTTGGCTCAAGAAGTTATCCTAAGTCCTTAACTCAATTTGGCATTGGCATATTATGAAAAAATTAACTTGTAAACTTAACCTTGCACACATAATAAGTCATCATAAGTTACTTTAAAGTAAGTTTAGATTTAAGAGGTAGATTGGCAACATCTCTGAAAACAATCAATATCAACTGTAAGCCGAAACGGACAGTAAATTATTATAGAACTAATAGCCTGATTCCATTGCCGCATTAAAACGCATTTAGCCAAATGCGCATTTATTTACACAGGGAATCCCATAAGGCTAAATGCCGCATTTAAATTAAATGCGATTTTTAAATGCGATTAAAAACCATTCGCCCCGAACGTTTTTAGAAAAAATACCGGAAAATACCGATGTTTAACGATATTTTGTTCGTGCCACCACTAAAACAGCTGTTTTCTATAAGCAAGGTTGGCGCAATTTTTGATGTCTTTTGAATATAAAATCTATTTTGTATAAAAATGACTGAAACCTAGAGCGCACGCTGCAAATTCTGCTCGCAGTACCACAATGAATTACTGCTGAATCTCTGGCATAGAATAACTCCCACATATACAGGGATCCTTGCCCTTTTTAGAAACTGTGGTGGTCTCCATTGCAAACCCGTCATAACAACGCAATCAGCTTCTCTTCATTGTCGTCCAAGTTGGCAAATGGCTCGGTCGCAATATGGATGTCCTGCTGAGCATTACAGAGTTTAGTAAATTCACTTAAGTTCATTAATTTTAAATAATTTCTTTTGGATTTGGCAAAATTCAAAAGTAAACAAGCCCAGATCAGCTGTTCGTGCCACTCACATGTCGGAGTAGCATTAAATAAATGCTAATGCGGCAATGGAATCAGGCACATTTAAAAAGTCCACTAATGCGGCAATGGAATCAGGCTATAAGAAAGCTTAACATCATCATGAAAAATTAATAATAAATTGAGTAAACAGCAAAGAACCCAAACGACTTTCCTAGGCCACTTAAAATATTACATAGATAATTTTGGAAACCGCGTTTTAAAAAGAGAGCTCTCTGAGTTCTTCCATTCAAATAACTTGAGACCCAAATTAATCGATTATATGGAAACCCAAGTTTATCTCATTTAAATAAAATAAGAGAATGGTTCAGAGAATTTTGACCATTTTTTCCCCAAAAAACGTTGAAACTAATACTAAGAACGAAATCGGGGGTGTGTGCTTATGCTTAAAAATAAAATTGGTTTAAAAATGTATCTTTTTTAAAACAAAAGAGTTTTAAATTATGAGTTGTTGATTAAACGGTGTGCTAAATGTACCAAATTAAAAAAATTTAGACTTCCGATCGGGGCGCTTTCCAAAATTGATCTGCGTATACATGTATTAATACGACAGTGAAACGGTATTGAAACAGACAGACAGACGGACATTGCTATATCGACTCCCGTATTGATCCTGATCAAGAATTAATATACTTTATGTGGTCGGAAAATTCTCCTTCATTGCGTAACAAACTTATGCCCATAATTATAATACCCTCTGCAAAGGTATACAGGAACAGATAAATTTCCAAGGAGCATAGCAGAGGGGACTAAAAAAGCATTTTTCTTAGATTTGACACCATTCCAAAAAGATTTCGGCTTTTGTTTTAGCCCGCTTTCGACTTCTGCTATGTACTGATGGTAAAGATATTTCCGACGACTTCCGAAAGTCGATGCCTGCCGCAGCTCATAACTGTGAGCAACAGCAAAGCAGCAAGCAATGAAACGAAAACAAGCGTGCTGCTTTTTACTTTTATTCGCTTTTTGATTTTTGCATTTGCTTCGACTGCAACTTCTGCTTTTCTAGGAGCAGAAGAAGAAGCAAAATCATATGAAATGAAACTTACTTCAGTTTTTTAAACAC